CTCGGGCTGCGCTCTGACGAGGCGGTGATATATATATATATATATATACATATGTGTGTATATATGTATGATCCGTATGTGTACATACATACGTAAATACCTACCGACATGGATACATATATACATACATGCATGCATGCATACTTTCATACATACGTACATACGTACATACATACATGCATGGTTATATACATACATACGTGCATACGTGCATGTATACATACATACATGCATACATACATACATACTTACACGCATGCATACATACACATATCCCTACATACATTCATACATACATGCATGCACACATACATAAATCAATACGCGCATACAAACATAAATTCACAATACAACTACCGACCTACCTACCTACCTACCTACCTACCTACCTACCTACCTACATACATACATACATACATACACACATACACATACATGCCCATACATACATACATACATGAATGCATACACACGTACATAGGAATGTGCGTATGGACATACATACGTGCATGCATATACGCACACACATACGAACGCACGTATAAATACATGCAATCATACATACGCAGATGCGTACATTTCTACACATGCATACACACGCTCACACGCATATATGTACATATGTATAAGCAGACATGCATGCATACATGCATGCATGCATGCATACCTGCATGCAAGCATGCATGCATACACGCATACATACGCACACACACACGTACACATACATGTACGCATGCATCCACACATGTATGAATGCATGCATGCACCCGCCCGTCCATCCATCCATCCAGCCATCCATCCATTACATACATACATACATACAACGACATGCATACAGCCATACAGACAGACAGGCAGACATGTATTTAAATGCACACATCCACATGCACACCTTACATACATGCATGCATACATGCATACGCCCATACATACACACATGCGCGCATGCATGCAAGCATGCATATATACATACGAACATGCAATCATGCCTGCCAATACATGTACGTAACTATACGCGCACATAGCATACATACATCCGTATCCACCGCCTGGAGAACCGGTATGCTGGGACCCCAGGGGGCGATGGGCAATAACATGCCCACATCCACCGCCTGCCGAGGCCCCCGAAGATCGTTGCCCCAGGCGGCGGTCATGGATGGATCCCCGCCTCGGTGCTTTCTTCACCGATGCACCTCGGCATGGCACGGAGGTGAATGAGGAGCAGGAGGAGGAGGAGGAGGAAAAAAAGAAGGAGGGGGAGGAGGAGGAGGAGGAGGAGGAGGAGGAGGAAGGAGGAGGAGAAGGAGGAGGAGGAGGTTGAGGGCGAAGAAAGGAGGGAGGAGGTGGAGGAGGTGGAGGAGTGGAGGAGGAGGAGAGGAGGAGGAGGGAGGAGGAGGAGGAGGAGGAGGAGGGAGGAGGAGGAGAGGAGGGGAGGAGGAGAGGGGAGGAGAGAGGGAGAGGGGGGATGGCAGGGGGAGGAGAGAGGAGGCAGGGAAAGGGAGGAGGAGGAGGAGGAGAAGAGGAGGGAGGAGGACGTGAGGGTCTGAGCATTGTGCTACTCATCTGGACCCTGATGGCAAGCACAAGGCCCGACTGCTCTGCCGTGCAAGTCAATACTCACATGGGCGTCCGTCCCCAGGTGGAGGAGGGAGGAGAAGGAAGGAGGAGGAGGAGAGAGGAGGATGAGAGGAGGAGGAGGGGGAGGGAGAGGAGGAGAAGGGAGGAGGAGGGAAGGGAGGAAGGAGGAGAAGGAGGCGGGGGAGGGGAAGGGAGGAGGGAGAGGAGGAGAAGGGAGGAGAGGAGGTAGGTAGGAGGAGGAGAGGAGGGAGGAGGAGGGATGGAGGAGGAGAGGAGGAGGGAGGAGGAGGAGGGAGGAGGGAGGAGGAGGAAGGAGGAGGGAGGAGGAAGGAGAGGAGGAGGGAGGAGTGGAGGAGGGAGAGGGAGGAGGAGGGAGGAGGGGAGGGAGGTGGGAGGAGGGAGGAGGAGGGAGGAGGGAGGGGAGGGAGAGCCACTCGCTTCTGCGCAGCCCCCTTGCCGTCCGGGGCGCGAGGCCGCCCCCCTCGCCCCCACCCCCCCTATAGCTTGGTCGGGCGCGCCCCCCTACAGGCGGACTCTGGACGAGCAAATCAAAGACAGTCCAGACATATCCCAAAACATTCCCAACAGAATTTCAAAATACAATCGCCGTGCTGTGTGTTGGCTATCTTTTGGATAGTCCCCTCGTCGACGAGAGAGATGAAAGGCAGGCAAAAAGTGCTCATCTGACACACACAAAAAGGAATCGAAAGGTCGTCCCCCGACGATGTGTGGACTGGTTTTGCCTACTCCTCCTGCAGGGTAGGGGGCCACATGCGAACCCTACCCCTCCCCCTCAGAAATCGTGAGGGGTCCCAGACCCCCGGCGTCGTGATTTTTCCACAACGTCGACCCCCAGCGGTCTGGACCCTTTCCCCGGGACCGGTTTCTCATCCTGAGTCGTTTTTTGACGGTCCCGAGGCCCGGGAAGGGCCCCCAGAGGCCGAAAATAACGAAAAACCTCCCGTCGTGTTTTTTTCACAGCGCGAGGGGGTCTGGGGTCGGGGTGGGGTTCGCACGTGGCCCCCTGCGGAGGGCCACGCCCGACCTCCCCCCGAGGCAGAGCTCGCGCGCGCGCCGCCGAGGCCCCCCGGAGAGCGCACCCCCGCGCCGGGGGCGCCCCGGGGGCACTCCCCGAAGGGCCTCCGCGGGGCGAGGTCCGGCGGGAGGCGGCGGGGGGCTTCGCCGGCGCAGCGTGCGCTGGGCTGGCCGGCGAGGTGGATGGTGTGATTAAGTCGGGCACGTCCCCCTACAGATGCTTCAGCCTGATGCTTCTGGGGTGAGCCGGATAGTGCGGTGCTGCACTTGCCTGCGCTGGCCATCCCGTCAAGGATCAAAGCGCCAGCCTCCAAGAGGCAATGGGAGTCAATCTATATATATATATATATATACACACACATACATATCTACCTATCTATATATATATATATATATATATACATGGGTACGGTTGCAAGCTCACTGTCGCGCTTGGAACCTCGAGCCATGGGGGCAGGAGGCCCGAAAACGCGAAAAATGGCGGATTAGGTCGGGCACGTCCCCCTACAGATGTTGGAGGAAAAAGGAAAGATGCCCCAAAGATATGCCCAAGTGGTCAGAAGTCATAGAAGAGTCGCCCCCCGACTATTGTTGGACTATGTCTGAAGGTTCCTCCTGTAGAGGGACAGGCCCGACCTGATACGAGGTAGCAACTACTGGGAGGCCTGCGTCGGAAGGACTCAAGAGAATTAAGCCCCACTACGCAGGATTAGGCTGCGGATTAGGCGGGATCAAGCCAGACTACGCCAGAATAGGCCGGATGAAACTGGATAAGCCGGATCAAGCCGGATCTCGGACCAGGGCGAAATCAGAATTTGACCTCCCAGGAGTTGCATCCGAATGGGTGCCCTCGCAAATCGGGGTGCCCTTGCTGCATGCAGCAAGCTCGTCGCCGAGCTTCTCGAGGAGGTCCTCAGCCCTCTCTTGCGGCTACCTATTCGCCGATTTCTCGGCCGTTTGCTCCTTGTCGTCCGGGGAAGCCGCCCCCTCGCACCACCACCCCCTTGCGCGCCGCCCATGCTTCCCGGACCGCACCCGGCCGCGGCGCACCGGGGCACCCAGGGCTCCGGGGCGAGGCTGGCGGAAGACGGCGGGGGACTTCTGGCATCGGGCAGGTGGCAATGGGGGGTGACCTATACATCGGGGGGGGCCGAAGAAGACCCCAAAGGGGCCCTTTCGGGGCCCCTTCTTCGAGCCGGCAAGGGCCCCTTGAGTTGTCTGCACCTCCCACCCCCCCCTGTAGGTCACCCCCTAGTGCCACCTGCCCGATGGAAGAGGCGAACACGAGGGAAGGGAACCGGCGCTAGCAGACAGCACGGCAGGGCCACGGGGATGCGCGAAGGACGCAAGGACCTTGGACGTCCAATCTGAGACCTCTTGACCGAGAATGGCCAGCGACGATTGTGGATTTTGTCACGGCCCCGGAGACCGAGACTGGCCCCCTGACGCCGAAGACGAGGAAACAGAACAGTCCACTAAGCTTCTCATCGGACTACCTCCATGGTAGACAACGACGGGAAGGGAAACGACGAGCACGACGACGAAGATCCTTTGGGAGATCAATAGACTATGCGTCGCCGTCTGGAACGCTATTCCACACAAACACACACACACACACACTCACACACACGCGGAAGCGTCCTCGCGCGCGGCGACAAAGCGGAATCAGTAAGAGTACTAAACGTGGGGTTACGGCTGGGCCCTCAGGACCCGCTTTGGATCGCACGGCATCTACCGCCATAAAGCACACCCGAGCAAACACACACACACACACACACTCATACACACACACACACACATACGCACATTGCTCCCTCTCCTCCTTGGCCTCCTCCTTGGCTTCCCCCGCCTCAACTTCTTGTTCCTCCTCCTCCTCCTCACTACCACCACTGTTATCATCATCGTCATCATCATCAGCATCAGCATCAGCAGCATCAGCATCAGCATCAGCATCAGCATCAGCATCAGCATCAGCATCATCATCATCATCATCATCATCATCATCATCATCATCATCATCATCATCATCATCATGCTCACCATCATGATCATCATCATCATCATCATCATCATCATCATCATCATCATCATCATCATCATCAGATTCTTCTTCATCGCCACCATCATCACCATCATCATTCATCGTCGATATTATCATCATCATAATCATCATCAAAAGCATAATTTGCATCAACATCAGCGTCACCATCATCACCACCACCACCATCACCATCATCAGCATCATCAGCATCGCCATCATCATCATCATCATCATCATCAGCAGCAGCAGCAGCAGCAGCAGCACCATCAGTATCATCATCATAAGCATCATCATCAGCATCCGTATCAAGATGCTCATAGTCATCCTGATCATCAGCAAAATCATC